GTGAAAACTGGACTGTGAAGAAAGCTGATAGGAAGAGAACTGGCTTATTTGAAATGTGGTGCTGGGGGAGAGTTCTGTGGATACTTTGGATTGGACTTCCAAAAATACAAATAAATGGGTCCTAGAGCAAATCAAGCCTGAATTCTCCCTAGAAGGCAAGATGACTAACCTGAGACTGTCATCACAGTAATGCTTGGTAAGGTAGATTACATTATAAGTAGGTAGGCTAAATGAAGAAAGCTGAGGCCATAAGTCTGCAAGACCTGAACAGTGCTGTTGATGACTTGGGGCGGTGGTGTCTTTCATTCATATAGTGGCTATAAATTGAAGCTGACCTGATGACAAACATCAACTTGTACCTGGAGATGCCCCATGAAAATCTGACACTCACAGCCAGGCCTTGAGATCTGGCAACTCTGCATTTATAGTAGTTTTATATTAAATTTAGCTGCTGACGCTTTATTTTGCAGAATCTAATGATTTGTAGTTTGCTGAGGTACTAGGTCCAAACTATCTTCGGGACCGCTTTCTCCCCTATAATCCTCCCTGCGCACTCCGGTCCTCTGGGAGGAACTTACTTCAGCCACAAAGATCCAGGCTCTCAACTACCTCCCAGAGGGCATTTTCCATCATCGCCCCCAGATTATGGAATGGCCTGCCAGATGAGATTCGTCTGCTCACATCTTTAGACAGCTTTAAAAAGGCTGTTAAGACGGATCTCTTCTGGCAGGCCTTCCCATAATAGATATCCCGGCCTCGGAAACCAGAAATCTTTTTAGGAGAATCCTCTAGGAACATCTTCAGTAGCTATGTATTGGATAGTGCCGCTTTTATTTATTGATCAATGCTGCCATATCATGTATAATTGTATAATGTTGTTGACCATTGGGTCGTTTTAACTTGTATGTTTTAATCTCTTTGGATTTAATGCTTTTTTAAGGGGGGGGAGGGTGCTGGGGATTTGATTGGATTGTGTATTTTTAACATTGTTAGCCGCCCCGATTGTTCTCAGAGGGTCGGGATATAAATTATTATTATTATTATTATTATTATTATTATTATCAGAGCTCACTGCCAGCCTTCAAGGGGTTCCTCCCTCTGGTACTAAAGGCACACCTTGTATTGCAAGACATCTCATGAGTACTGATGCTCCATTCCCTGCCTTGCTCCAAATGCCATGCCAGTCCCCAGTGCATATGTCCATAATTTTTCTCTTTCCATCCCCTTCCCTTCAAGTCCTGGCTTTTTGGTGCACTGATATTGCACATAGGCAACACACATACAAACACTCTTCATGCTAAGCCTGTGAACCCTGACACCAGCTGAGATGGGCAGAAATGGGTGAGAAATGGATTTCTTATTTGTATTCAAATACAAAAACCATAGCTTTAATTCTAGTAACCCAGAGGTTTGTTCTCTTGTCTGGAAACTCATCCAGAGAAGCACAGAAATTCCCTGAGATTTCATCTGACACCATGAGACCTGTCAGTCCTTCTGTGGAGTGCTTTTCCCAGAGACGTTTCCCTTGGCCTTTGGTGTTATTTTGGCAAAATGCAAAGATTTTGCTCCTCCGTCTCTCATCTGCCTTAGCTTTATGCTGTTGCTGCTGTCTGCGAAATGTGTTCTTCCTATGCTGTATTTTGTTCTTCTTGTAACCCTTCAAATCATTTCCAACTCATGGTGACCCTAAGGCAATCCCGTCCTATGGCTTTCTTTGCAAGATTTATTCAGAGGGAGTTTGCCATTGCATTCCTCTGAGGCCAAGAGAGCATGATTTGTCCAAGGTGAGCTTCCATGGCCAGGTGGAGATTCGAACCCTGGTCTCCTGGAGTCCTAGTACAATACTCAAACCACTATGCTGGACTGACTCTCTATGCTGTAATTACTGTTATTGTTATCATTGAAGGGATTATTTTATTTTTTGTTCTGAACTATCCTTAGAAATTTGTTATAGGGCAGAGAGAGGGAGAGATAGGTCTAACAGCCAGTGTCAACATAGCAGCTCTTTGAGCAGCATACAAAGGAGGCAGCAGTTCAGATGGAGCCAAACTGGCTCCATTTATTTGGCTTTCTGTCAGCCATTTGGTAGATATATATGTGTGCATGAGAGAGACAGAGAAAGAGACAGTTACTTCTTTAGAAAAAGCTAGTAAATTGTATTTTCCACCCCTTTATTACAACAAAGCCACCAGTCTTCATTTATAGAGCAAGTGGCTCTCCAGTTTGATCAGGATCTTCACCTTTCCCTGCTCTTGCCGCCAGAGATTGAACACTGAAACCTTTTTCTTGCAAAACATGCACTCAGCATCACTGCCATTAAAGCAGAGTGGGCAAAGTGTGTGTGTATATGTATGTGTGTTTGCTCCAGAGTGTTCTCAAAATGCACTCTAGGGATGTGAAAATCACTTCCATCATATTTGGAGCCTTTCTTTAAGGGTCAAAAATATTTTTTGCAAAATTTTCCAAAATACTTTTTTTGTCCCAGCATGCTCCAAAAGGCCCACCAGGATGTGCGTGGTGTACTTCCATCACATTTTGTGTCCCCCAGGCAAATTTAAGCCCATGAGAGGCCCTTTCTGAAGTACAAAACATGGTGAAAATATGGCTATATCCCATAGATGTGTTTCGGGGAATTTTTTTAATTTTTATTTTTTTTGCAGGAGCAGATGTTACCCTTTAAGTTCTCCTAGGGAGCTAATGTGGCCCCTAGCCTTCCACAGTTACTTGCCCCTACCTTAAAGCCACTGCTTCTCAGCCCAGCAGCAGTCCATATAACTTAGAGGTGTTAGTCCATTTTACAGTGAAGTTGGAATTTGTGTTGGACTTCCTTGAGAAGTCTTCTGTAAAATCTATTCATATATACACCCAGATCCCAAAATAACAATGACTATAAGATCGCCAATAGATGCAGCAAAGGTAGTTCTGCTTTGTGTAACAAAATATCCTTAAGAGTGCATCTACACTACAGAAATAATGCAGTTTAACTGCCATGGTTAATTTGTAGTTTTAAGAGGCACCAGCACTCTTTGGCAGATAAGGCTAAAGACCTTGCAAAAAACTCTACAAATCCCAGAATTCCATAGGATGGAACTACAGCACTTAAACTGTATTATTTCTACAGTGTAGATGCACCTTAAGAAAGACCACTTGGGTGTTAATGCTATATCCAGTGGAGAGTCATCCAGCCAGATGGGATATTTTAATCTCTCTAAGGGGGGATACAGACGGGCAGCCTTGGGCCGCCCCGGGAAATGAAGGATCAAAGCCGAGGCTGCCATACGCGTCGGCCCCAATCCTCCCTTTTGCCACCTGGGAAAGGAGAGCCAAAACGCCGCTCCTTTCACAGGCAGCAAAAGGGGCACCCGAAGAGCCGCTGTGTGGCTCTTTTGCGCCTCTTCCGGCACAGCGTATTAAGATGCTGCACTGTGATGATGTCCTGACGGCGCGCACCATGCAGAATGGTGCACGCCATGATGATGATGTCTTCGGTGTGGGGTTGGGGCGCCCGGTATGTGGCTGCCCCCCTCCTTCTTTTCCATTTACAACAGAACTATGTTGTACTGAACTACATGTTCCGTTTACAACTGAACTGTTTTAAACGGAACATGTATAAGAAATGGAAAAAT